CACAGTAGTACAGTAAATCACAATGCACCACTGCTAAGTAAGGAAAAGTCCAAAGCTGCTCAACCTTTCTCCCCCTTCACCAAAAGAACAAGGTAACAAGCAACTGGAGTGGTAGAATAAAAAAAAAAAATTAAGACGTGATCCTCCCCTCTTAACATCACTGATTTCACCTGCACTAAAGAAACACTAACAAAAAGGAGTTAACACATGCAAAACTTGGTGGCCCATGTAAAATAATTTCCACTTTTTAATATCAAAGTACCCACATCACAAGCTGAGTCACCTGTGAGGACCTGGAAAAAAGTCATAGTTAACAGCAATGGGAAGCCAGAAAACACCTTGCTATTAGCTAAGGAAGCTGACCTACAGTTAGGAATACACTAAAGACTAAACTCTTACTTCGGAACAAACAGTACCCTTACTGTCTCAAACACACCCATCACCTGTGCATGTGCACAGCTGCTAACAGTGACAAAAGTAAAAATTACTCAGGAAACAAAAGACTAAACACTTCTGGTTTAAAAGAATCTCCACGTTTGGATCACTGCTGCTGCTCTTCTGGAAACCTGGCTTTCATGATTCAGTCTCCATCCCTACTCGTAAGAGGAAAAAGCAGTAGAACTAAACAGCTAGCTGACATAATTTCAAGCATGAACCACGTGCTCATAACTATTAGAAACAAAATGTAATAAATGGTGTGTTCTAAATCTCAAAACAGAACTCTACTCACATTCATTACTATTTGTGAACTGTGAAGCTGACACACTGGACTACAGGTAAACAAAAACAGAAGGAAAATTATGTGATGCAAAAATGTATGATTGGTGATCTTTTCTATTTTGATCACAGATAAAATTTTCTCAAGCAGAAATCTATTAATTCTTACCTTTTATTTCACACACAGCCATCTTTATACTTCCTTTGCTGCCTTTGCAAACATCATCCTGGGAATCATAGTATGACAATATCCCATTGTCTAAAACAAACCACCGAGGCTGCCAACCTAGAGAGATCAAAAATGTAAAACTTCAGTCTAATTCCTAAATCATAAGTCAAATTCACCTCTTTGGCTGTTAAAATTTTAAGAAAAAAGGCAAACATTAAATTGTTCTTGTAACACACCAGGAAGTAAACTATCTGTGCAGTCTGAAGACCAGAGCCACTCTATAACCAGTGTTATATGGATATTCCACTCCCGTTCCTTTTGAGTGCAAGATCAGCATTTTTCTTCTGTTTTCACTGTATTCCATTCTAGAGAAAAATTAAATTTTAATTTAGCCACCATGAAATCCTATTTTGAAGGTTGTTAAATTACATACCTCTGAAAAGCCATTCTCATTCAAGTATATTTTTCAGGCAGATTTTTCTAAGATTTTGCAAGATACAAATAAATGACAGATGCCACCAACTGCTATGCAATGTTCTCCTTCACCTACTGTATTTCAGTGAAAACTTTGTATTTCACAGTTACGTATTCACATTTTTTCCATTTCAACAAATAACATAGAACTAAAATATTCCAGTAGAGCATAACAATTGCAGTGGCCCATTATACTCTGGGTCAGCTGTACAATAGGAGCAGATTATCCCTCTATTTTACAACTTGACACCAAACTTTAACTTTCTGCTTGGTTTAGGGTTTGAAATGGCAAAAACTGTGTGGCCAAGCCCTCTAGGTATTTGGCAATATGACAGCATGGCCCAAGGTGCTTTCCAGTTGCCATCCCAGCAGAGGAAGCTGAGGCCATCCAGCAGCACTGTATTTTAACACAGAAGGCTAAATCAGGTAGCAGACTCAGAAATCAGATACCGGCTTCATACTATTCATAGCATTATAGAATCATTAAAGGTTGGAAAAGATCTCCAAGATCAACCAGCCCAATCTTTAACCAGTCACCACCTTGTCAACTAGACCAGAGCACTAAGGACCACATGCAGGTGATTACCACCTCCCTGGGCAGCCTGTTCCAATGCAGCCCCTTCCATGAAGAATTTCCTCCTGATGCCCAGCCTGAACCTCCCATGGTGCTGCTTGAAGCCATTTCCTCTCATTCTGTCACTTGTTATTTGTAAGAAGAAGCTGAGCCTGACCTGGCTCCAACCTCAGGGAGTTGTAGAGTGATAAGGTCACCACCTCAGCCTCCTTTTCTCCAGGCTGAGCCCCCTCAGCTGGTACAGCTGGTTCTGGTATGACTCATTCTCTAGACCCTTCACCAGCTCCATTGCCCTTCTGTGGATACTCCAGCACCAGCATCATTACAGTTGTAACACTAATTCAAGAGGAGTAATAGCAGGCTGCATTAAATCACGTTACCATTCCATGAAAAAGAAATAGTAACATGTAACTGTGTATTGTTTATATTTTTGTTGTTTACTAGCTGTAACAGTAAGCACACGTGTCTTTTCAAATGCTGAGTGGTAACTAAAAAGCACCTCCACACTCAAATTTAAAAGCAGAATGTTAAAAACTACAAACTCTAAAGCATAAGAACTCACACAGGAAATGTTTTGAATGGTGTGTATACATCAATACTAATACCCAAAGAATATGCAGTTCAGAAGACTCTGTCTTGTAAAATGCAACTCAAAAAATGCAAGGATCTTTTTCTCTGCTACATTCTGTTGCAAGAGGTGGACTCTGTACTGTCCTTATCGCCTGTCAATGCCTGTCAAAACACTCTTATTCTGCTAAAAAGAGAACCTACATGAATGACTATTCCATCCTCACATTATTCTAGTATTGGGAAAAAACAGAAGCAAAGGATTTAAAAGGCCAAGTGCTTCACAGAAACAAGCCAAAAAACAAAAACACCTCTTGTATTTTGAAACTGGGCGGTATCCTACACTTGAGAAAATATTTAACATATTTGTACTTCATGAATTCTTATTTGAGGAGGAAAAAAAAAAAAGGCAGCTGTATTTCTGGTTTGCTTTCAATTAAGGAAGAAACTAAATGTTTTCCGCAACACTTCAGCAACAATAACAACCTCCTTTGCTGCTTGGTGTCTAGCATTAATGACAAGTACTACAGCCTATTTTCGGCCACAAAAACAAATACTATACAGATAGTAGAGTAACAAGGCAGATGGTAATAAAATTTAAACATTTTGCTAACATTATAAGATGACTTTTTTTAAAAATGCTGCCCTCCTACATTCTGTAGATTGTAGGTAATTCCTGACACACTAATCTTGAAACGCAGAAGCAGATGCTCTCTGTTGGCCAGCGCAAGGCTTAGGAAGGGTTCTGAAGTTTGCTGGTTTCAGGACTACTGGCTTTCAGCAGAAGTCAGTTGCATGCTAACAGTCTGTTGTGTGTATAGCATTCACAGCTGCTGTTGAGTATTTGCCTATTAAATAACAGACTTAAAAGAGGAGCAAACACCGCAAGAGCTCATTGCCTTTATCCATTTATCTTTTGTTACAGCAACATTCCCAGTCATATAAGGTGAAAGTGACTTTCAAGTGAAAGTGACAACTTCAATTGTTTTGAAAACAACCTTGTGCTCATTCTTTCTCTCATAACCATTCTTTCTCTCACCGTTTCCTCTATGTGTTTTCTCTACAGTTATTGTGAAGAAGCGACAAAGACATCAAATACCTATTATATCACAACCGTTCCCTTTTACCAGAAGGACCATATCTGTGGACACATAATTGCTCTGAAAAATGCAATATTATGCTCTGTACGCTTCATTTCACAGCACATCCGTACAATCCTCAAAATGTGGCCCACATTTTATTATAATCCCTCAGAATCAAGTTTCACACCACTCCACACAACCTGCATATGCTGAAGCAGGATTCCACATATGAAGCGCCAAAGAACCAGAGGACAAAGAAGATACTGCCACAGCAGTGTAACAAGAGGCACGATTAAGCAGAGTATGTGACCCAACGCTGATGTGCTTGGGAGAGACAATTAGTCCTACCACAGTGTCAGAGGAGAAATGTTTCGCCTGGACACCACTGCCTGTCCGCTGCCTGCTCCAGAGAGAGATGCTGTCTCTACTACAGCAGAGGATCAGCCAAACAAAACCAGGCAAATGCTGGCATTTGGTGCACTTTTTGTCTGCAGCGCTTCCAAAAATGCATTTAATGAAACTGAAGTTCATCATGTGTTTTCCAGGTTGGGATACAGGAGCTCCCTGTTCTGCTGAGAGTCTCTGACTAACTCGGCCAGGCGCAATCCAGAGAGGAGCGAGAGGGGCTCGGCAGAAGGCCAGGGCCGGGCACAGCCCGCCCGTGGGGCTGCCGGGGGCAGTGGCTTCTCCCGGCTCCGGCCCGCACCGGGGAGAGCGGGGAGCGCTGGCGCTGCTCCGCCGGGCGCGTCCCCCGGCCCGGCCCCGAGCGCCTCCAGGCCACCGCCGCCCCAGGGCCGCCGCAGCGGCGATGCTCGGCCGCTCGCCGGGGCTCGCTCCGAGCACAAATGGCTCAGCCAACGCGTTACCGACAGCTGGGATCCCCCGAGGCACCGGCAGCAGCGGCGCATCACGGCCGAGACCGAGCCGAGCCCCAACCGCCGCCTCCCGGGCCCGGCTCCCCCCGCCTACCCGCTAGATAGTTGGTCCACTTGTACAGGACCCCCTCCATCGCTCAGAGCCCGGCGCCGGGCCGCATCCTCCTGCTCCGCCGCGGGGAACGGGCGGCCGCGGCCGCCGCGGGGATGGCGCTCCCCTGCCGGCCCCACCGCTGCCTCCCCCGCGCGGAGGCGGAGCCGCTCAGCTCAGGCGCGGCGGCCGCGGCGGCTCCGGCGGCGCCGCCCGCCCCGCGGGGCGCTCTGCATCCCCCATGCGCTCCCGGCCCCGCCACCCCGTGGCTGCTTCCGACGTCCCTTCCACTTCCTGAGCGGAGAGGGCGGCCCGAAGAACCGCCCGCCCCGCGGTCGCTGCCGGGGCCGGGCTCTTCCCCACGTCCGGCGCGACTGAGGCGGAGCGGCGGCGCTGGCTCGGCCCCCGCCCCTCGGCGCGGTGGGGACAGTGCCACGCCGGCGGCCGCCTGGGAGCGACATGGGCCGTGGGCTGAGCCTGCTTCTGCTGCCGCTGGCGCTGCTGGCGGCCCCGGCGCGGGCCGAGGGCGGCTCGGCGGCGGCGGCGGAGGAGGTTCAGATAGAGGTGCTGCACCTCCCCGAGGCCTGCAGCCCGAAGAGCAAGAAGGGCGACCTGCTGAACGCGCACTATGACGGATTCCTGGCCAGCGACGGATCCAAGTTTTACTGTAGGTGAGCCCCGTGGAGGAGGGCGGCGGGCGCTGCCCGGCGGAGTGCGTGGCACGGCCGCTCCAGCGCCTGGATCTGAGGGGCTCGGGGCGCTCCCGGCGTGGGCACGGCTCGGGGCCCGCACTGGCCACATCAGCGACAGTAATTTCTCCCCGTCTTAACCTTTACTTTTCCTTAGCCGGGTGTTGAAGGGTGCAGAGTTTCCCTAGGATCAAGACGGGAGCGCAGATGCAAGTGATGGAAATCAAAGACCTTCGCCAGTGAAGGGACCCGACAGGGACGAACTTCGACATCCTGTAGCCCACTCCTCCCATGGAGACCCCCTTTGGCAGGGTGGAAAAAAAACCTCCATCACGTTGATACTTGCCATGTTCTGTGCTGTAATATGTGCAGAAAAACTCGGGTTGGGAGGAGGAGCTCCTGGTAGGAATGCACACTGACAATTTTAGGCAGAAACTTTTATATAGCATGCACTTCCACATAGTTGGCACTGTGTAGTGCAGCCACATTATTACGCTAGTGGTTTGCAGCCTTTATTCCTCATCCCTGTGGCTGTTTCCCTTCTGATTCATTGTGCCGTCCATTTTACCGCAAAGTTATCGATTAGTCTTTTGCTTTTTCATTTTGCCCCATCCATCTATCCTCAAACAATAGCTTAGCTCATTATAAAATCTTGATCCATTCCCTCACTTGTGTAATTTAAGAAAAAAATCAGTATAGGATAGTTCCACATTTAACAGTACCATTTCATTTGCATTTCTTAGCCTGTTGAAGTGACCGACTGGTACATAGAGCGTTGCTCTCTGGATGTTTTGCTCATTTATTGTTCAGTGTAGTGCCCATGCTGGGGATGCCTCATTCGAGCAGCAGCTGCCTCAAGCACTGGCTATCAGACCTGGCCCGAGTGGTAGGAGATCACACAGTACTCACAGTACTGTAGCTGACATTGCCAGGTTCCCCCAACACACACCTGCACTCTCAGTCCCATCCCATCCTACGGTGTTGTGAACTGCTGAAGACGTTTTCACTTTCTAGTGCTCCCCACATTCATTCCTCTTCTTGTTGACTTCTTGCAGTGGCACCTTGTTTCTGGCATGCAGTGTACATGATCAGGAAGATAGGATGTTTTTGTAAGAAGTTCAAAAACATAGAGGGTTTTTTTTTTCATTTCAAAAGTAGCTTTCCACTTACATATATCAAAATTTGACCTTAAATTATAAATATGGCAGAAAAAGTATTTATACTTTGTATTCTTGCACTCTAAACATTTTTGTGTGCTAATAAATCTATGTTCTTACTGACTGCCATGAAAAAATATATTTATGTAAAAAAATGTTATATTAACGTTACTCATACACAATTTCTTTTTAATAGTCGGACGCAAAATGAAGGTCATCCAAAATGGTTTGTTCTGGGTGTTGGACAAGTCATAAAAGGTTTGGATATTGCTATGATGAATATGTGTCCTGGAGAAAAACGGAAAGTGACAATTCCTCCATCATTAGCATACGGACAGCAAGGATACGGTAAAAAAGAAGTTTTAATGCTAGACTTTGTCTTTCTTGTGTTTTTTACCCTTTCAAACATACAGCATTGTAAACGTCTGTAGGAACTGGTGCTCCCATTTGGAGGCAGTGCTGCTGTGCAGCCCCAGTCCTGCTCATTGCTACAGTTTTAGTCCTGACCACAGATCCACACCCAGGCCTTGCAGTTCCCTTTAGAATTCTGTACATGCCACCCAATGCATTTTCCCAAGTATTGCCATAGTGTGAAAAATTGGCAGCAAAAGGAAGATTTCCATGATCTATATCAACATGATTGTGTTTATCTATTAAATTCCAGTCACGTTTGATTTTTATTATTTGCTACCAGTTTAGCCTTTTAATGACAGCCTGCATCTTCTGAATAAAATGGAATATAATGCAGTGCAATTAATCTAAGAAATAATTTGCTTAAAATACTGCTTGCATTCTGAATAGTTAATGGGTCTCATTATCACATTACACAGTAATTGCAACAGGGCAATGCACGAAATCTGATTTGAATATAATTCAGTGTGCAAATTACTTTTAAAAAGTAACAATACAAGTTTTGTGCAGTGTTTCAGCATTCAAATGTAGATAAATTCAGCTCTGATATGAGTGTAGTAGTTTCTGTGAAAAGGTATCTCTTGCTCTATGATGTCAGAATTCAATGCATCAGTTTTGTCTTTAATATAATAATACAAAAAGGAAAAAGACTGATACAAATAAAAAATGTTCTTTAATACTAGTGTTAACTGTTGTTGCAGGTAGCACTTGAAGGAAGTAGTATTTTCCTACAGAACACCTGTCCTCTCTCTCAGCGTATTCCTGCATGCTGGGGAAGATGCCTGCCTAATCTTGAATTAGAAAAGATGCATGTGGCTTTCTAAGTCTTTACGTGTCTTTCCTTGTTGGTATGTATATTTGTAAACGACTGGCACTGAATTCTAGAATTGTATCTTTCTTTTGTAAGTGGTATTTAAATCATGATTTATATTTAAATGTACTTAAAACTTCTACTTTTCTGAAGCCTGGAAGGTTAATACCTTTTGAACTCTGAAATATTATTTTTACTATGGCTATTTTAGATGAGTAGTGTAATAGTTTTGTTTATCTTCTGTTTGCAAACAGTGTAGATTCTTTAGCTTTCCTTCAGTTTATGAAGGGTGGACACAAGCTCAGAATTTTGAGGTTACAATGTTATGCTCACTGGCTTTGGCAGCTTGCATGTTTGCACTTTAATTTTACACTGCATGCTTGCTTTATGCTCTTTTGGCACTATTTTTAGACTGCATTGGTTTGTTGCTGTTTCTTTTCACTTCCCTTTTTTTGCCAGATGCATGATACGTGGACCTGTGTTTGTAGGCAGTGCTGGTTTTACATCAGGTAGCAGAAAATGCTTTTATCCAGGAACAAAGAAATCAAACAGTTGTTTTCTTAATTCAGAGGCTAGACAAAGTATTCCAGTAGTTTGAAGTTTCTGTGGGATTTTTTTGCAAGTCAGATGATTTACATTTTGTTGCTGCCTTTTGAGATGCACATTTTAAACACTATTTTATGGCAAATATAAAATACCTTTTACCATAGGTATAATTCATACAAAGTAGATAAAACATGATGTTGTCCGCTTGTTTCTTCAGCCAGAAAATGCATAGGAGCACTGATCTACTACTGTTACATTTGAAATCAGATTGGAGCTGTTTAATAGATACACATCTTAGAACCAGTCTCTAAATAAGCCCTGGCACATGACAGGATGTGAAAGAATGCAAACTTCAGAAGTACTTGTTTTTCATGATAACCATTCACCTAATCTCTGAAAGTACCTGAATTGGTATGCAATACAGTTTTGTTTCAGGCCAGTACCTGATTAGCAGGTTTCTTCTGAAATCATTTATCTAACACAATCAAACAATCTTCCTGTCTAGATGTACAACATTTAAATTCAGTTTAATCTGAATATTAACACAGCCTTTTTTAATAAAAGAATGGTTTGCATGTGAATTTATCGTACATGTGATCTCTGCCCATAGTGTCTGATTCCTTAAATTCTGCTTTTTTTTTCCTTTTATTCATAGCACAGGGCAAGATTCCACCCAATGCAACACTGATCTTTGAGATTGAACTTTATGCAGTAAATAAGGGACCTCGTAGTGTTGAAGCATTTAATCAAATAGACAAAGACGGTGACAAGAAACTCTCTGAACTTGAGGTAATATGATGCAAATAATTTGAAACAAATAATTTATAAAACTATAGGTGTGGCTGCATCAGTTTTATCTTTACATGAGCTGCCTCTGCTGCAGCTGATCATGTAAGTTTTTGTGTGCTCACACAAACTACACTGTGCTGTAGTTTGCTGAAATTTGCTTTAATACATTAATAAATCTCACACTTTCTGTAGACAAACTGTAGATGTGTCTGCACTGGAATCGCAGTACATTACTTGTATACCCCCAGTGTCCTTGAAGACAGCTAGATTGAGTACTGCCAGAAAAGTTACAATGATTAGACCTTTTTCTTTTCTTCTAGATAAGCCAGTATTTGAAAGAAGAATTTGCAAGAGATGGGAAAAAACGTCATCCCTCCGCCCATGATGAAATCTTAGCTGATATATTTAAGAAAAATGACCATGATGGAGATGGCTTCATATCAGCAAAGGAGTACAATGTCTACCAGCACGATGAACTCTAAGTACTTCAAAAAATCTTTGGCTGTTTTCTGGACAGTGAATTCTAAATAATAATACTTTGTCACAGAATTTTTGTATTTTTTTTATAGTGGAATCTTTTTATATCTCTTAAGGTGACTGTAAAAAATCTTATTTTTAACATTCGGCTAATAAAATGTGTCAGATGTTTCAAAAGAAAAAAATAAAATTGCAGTACACCATGATCTAATATTTGTAGTTCTTAGAACATGTTCCAATCTACAATAGTGCTCAGTAGTGTCTCACTTGGTGGAATACTCATGAAAGTAATTATTTCTGTTCCATTGAGCACACAAAAGTTATAATAACCTTTGACATAGCTGGAATGTAACTGGTGAACACTTCTCAATCCCCTGTAAAATAAAAAGGGAAAACAGAATCCCAGGAATACAACTCTTCGACCCCTGCAGGCTCCTAGCCTAGCTTCTTGAGGAAAGGCCATTTGCAGCAATAAAATATAAACTTAAATATAAAAGGCCTTAAAATAGCTAAACTCTGTTTATGGAATGTTAAAATAAAAACAAAAATGTTTTTAAAATAACTAACCTCTTTGATGTAACACTAACGTAAAGAATTCGGTGCTGAAGGAAAAACAGTATTTTAAGTGAGCTTTTAAACTTTGACTTAGTAATAGTTATCAAAGTTTGCCAGTTTATTCAGCAGCACCAAGTTAAAAACCTACACTATCATAATTTAATTGAATGAGGTAGATGATTATGTGAGTTACTATGTATAAACACAAGTAATTACTTGGGCATCATTCTGGTTTTTCTCACTGGAAAAATGCGAAGAAGTAGCAATAGTTAATAGGCAGTACTTATATCTGCTAACTGTTCTGCTTGTGCCGAGCACATCATAACACTTGTGTAACATACTCCCTCTTCTCATGTAGAAAGCAAAAGCAATGGTGTTCATTTCAACATGTGATAATCAGATGTACACAGTGAAGGTGACAGCACAAATGAAAAAAAGCTTCCATACCTGGGTATTCCTTGAAATTATTTTAAAAGGTATAAAAAGTTTTTTTGCTCTGCCAGTGTCAAACAGTGTGGTGAGAAGTTTAACAGCGCCCTGTGCCACAGCCCAGTCCCAGCCCTGGACACAGCTCTCTGGTGTTCCAGTCCTCAACATTCTCCATTTCCTGAGGCTGGGATGCACCTGTTAAAGACCTTCACTCCTGAAGTCTTGTTAGAGTGAGCAGTTCCATTATTTTCGTAAGCTTCCAAAATATTTTCTGCTAAGCAGAAAGTCAAGAGCAGCTGTGACATAAAAAACAACTGCAGCAGGTGGACTGGCTGGTACTTTTTAATAATCTAAACAAACTTGATATACAGCAACAGCACCCTAATATGAAACTTCCATCCATAGTTCTGGTTGTTCCCTTTTGTAACTGAAACATTAGACTGAGCTAAGTTTTAGCATGTTTTTTAATCTGATACTTCAATTAAACATTCATGAGAACACTAAATTATTAACAAATATTCTCATTTAACCATCATATGCCAGTGTAGAGAAAGGCAACGTTTTGGGAGTCTAAAAACAAGTTTGTGTAAACAACTTTAAGTTCTAGCATATATTCTTAAATTATGAAAATACTATTTAAAATATGTTTTTCATTATCATGATAATGAGAAGGTTCTAGGAAAAACAGCAATGTGAGGGAATTAATGTGCATTTTAAAGTAGAGGTCATTGATGATGAAGCAAAGAATTTGAAGATAACAGCATAATAAAATGTTTTGCACTTTCACTGTTTTGAATTTCATAATTGGAGACAAATATTTACTAACTCTGAAAAGCTTGTGGCACAGTTATGCCCATGGCTCTGACAACAGGCACTTACCCACGTCACTTACTTCATTCTCTTGTGCCAGAGGTCAAAACAGGGCACAGCATGCAGTCGTACGTACTTGTGTCCATTAAAAGAACATTCCAGGCATCCATAGACTGTCTCCCTTTTAGAACTTCCCATTCCACAAAGGACACAGGGGCCTTTGGGGATGTTGTTATTAAGTAAATTAATTCGGATATGAGAACCGTCTCTAAGATAGCTTGTAGAGAGATCAGTCATGCTTGCAGCTTTTTCATAATAATCTGCAAAAAGGTCCTCCAAGCAAGGATCAGAGTTAGCAACGATTTCCACTACTCCTTTATCTGAAAAAGAAGCAGTGATTTGCTATTACATTATGATCTGTTCTTTGAATAATGTCAGTTTATAGAAATAACAACTGATTCACAAAACTGTTCTAAACATGCCATATAGATTATTTCCCATCAAAAACCCTGTGTGATGAAAATTTTTCTTCAACTTCACTTAAGACACTGACAAAAGCCAGAATTTTTTGTTTATTACCTATGTAATTATATTTTTAGGAATATACCTAAGGGATAGACATGAGGCAGTCTTCTAAGAAATTGGTGCAAAGTCAAACCACAGCTATGTACTTCCCTGTTTCTATTTTTGCATTTCTAGTTTTATGTTCTAAACATTTTAAATTCACTTTTGTTTCCTGTTATTTATTAAAAAATCCCACTAATACTTAATATGTTTAGAAAACTCAGAAGACTCCTTGTTAACCTCCTAGAAGATTTCTGAGCATCCTGATGTGCCAGGTAGGAACTACCTACCTTTCCCTCTCTCTTCAGGGACTGACTAGATTGACTGAAGAACTTTTAGGCAGCTACAGCTCCTGAGATGTATCATACCCACTGAAAATTTATTCCCCTAGTGTGGACTAGAGCAGCACTGAAGGCTTGGTCCATAAAAGTCCTTTGATTGAGAATGGAATATATTGGAGAAAAGACACCTATATAGAGCAGCCTTTAGGACATGTTAACTGCTCAGCATTTATCTTCACACTCAGATCTGCAGATTTCCAAAGTACTTGGACCAAGGAGTGTTACAAGTTCTTGAAAGCTGCCTACAGGGATCCTCATTTTTGTTGGATGCTATATTCATATTAGAATGAAAAAAGAGGACTATGATGGTATGCTGTCCATGTCCCTGCCATGGGAACATAGTGCCTAAGGAGTATATTCAATTATTTCAGTTCATATTCTTTGGTATCTAAACTTACAGCTTTTGCCCTCAAACGTTACTATAACTTGTATAATATGAGCTGTAAATGGCAAACACATGAAAGAGGTTCAGTGTTAATTTAGCTGTCTAATTACTCAATACCAGTTTATCAACAGCCATAAGTTTTAAGATCTTTAGAGTTTAACAAACAGATTCGTTATTTCTGAGAGACAGGTTCTCAAATGTAAATTTTAATAGCTCTATAATAATTTTAATGCACTAGAAATTGAGAGGCACATTTTGCGTCAAAATTATTTTCTTTAAACATTTCTTTTGCACAGAAATTAAACAAAGATATGCTTTTAAATAAGACTTTGTATATAAATATCAAAAGTCATACTTCGATGAAACAAATTATTCTTTAATCTTCTTAATTTGGTCAGTGAAGATGATGCAGATTTCTCTCTTTCAAATCCTCCTTTTGCAATTGGAGTCACACAGAGTTCTGTAAAAATGAAAAGTTTTTAAAAGGACTAAATATAAAAGCCATAATTGCACAACAATTTAATATGCTTTCTAATCAATAAAGTTAACAGTGATGAAATTGAGCATTGTTAATGTTTTTAATGGCTAGTACAAGTCTGCACATAGTAACTGCCCACAGAATCAAGTAGCGCAGATTCAATGGGAATTTTTAACTGTTAGTGGTTTTCAATTAACATCCTCAGAGCCTGTTTTGCTTCATACACATATTTTATTCACGTTAAGGGGTCAGGACAGTCAGTATCATACCAATGGGAGCCCTGATTCTGAAGTACAAACATTTCTGCAGTCTTACTTGAAAGTAGAAATGAAACATAGTAAGCAAGGCTGTGAGTTCTGTACTCACCACTTCCAATACTGAATCAACTATTAAAACTTTATTTTAAAATAAAAACGAGTATCATCTATGTTTCTATCCATAACTTGAAAGAAAAGCTTTAAAGTAAAATCTAAGATATGCAATTTTTAAATTTCTTTATAGCTGTTAAGAACTGCAATTATTTCCTCTTAAAGAGCTTTAGATATTTGTATGTGCAAATGATGTATCAGACTAAAATGAAAGCCCCAACAGAAAAAAAAATGTTATTAGTTTAGAAGTTCTGTATACTTTTTTCTTTACTTGTATCTTTGAACTTGCCTATTTTATGCAAAACTGATCAGATAGTCTCAGCTGGTTCGTCACTAAGTGGAGCTTTTTGTTCCATGCCACCAAATAATTTAAAAAATATGAAGTCAAATTAACTTTTAAAAAATGCTCCTGCAGCAGATTATTTTCTGTGCCTGCCTTGTTTATCTTTTCAAGCACTGTTTCTGTCAGAATGTCAGAATACTTATGTGCATAAAATTAAAGCATCCTATTGTATGGGATGAGGGCTTATGTATATCAAGAGCAATAAAACAGTTTTTAGAGTTTTAAAAACTGAGATCATTATAAATAATAGCAGTAATGACAGTAATTCACATCACTTACCGAAATTACCATCCAAATGAATGTAGAGTTCAAATACACTAAAAGCAATAGTTGTATGTGCAGGAAAAACAATGGCTTTGTCCCGCCCTTTGTAATTCTGATCTTCAATTATGTGAAACTATAATTTAGGGAAGGGTCAAAAGAAAAAAAGTTACAAATTGAAATTAATAAATAAACATAATAGTAGCCTTAATTTCATATATTGGGAATTATAATGCCTGGGGAAAACTTTGAAATTGAAGATCAAGTTTCACAACCAATGAATTTTCTATTAACTACTTTGCATTTTAATAAATTTTGATATAGAGAGAGTAATTTGCATCACTTAACTGAAAATTATGTGAATGATTTATAAATACTAGAAAGAGCAAAGTTAGAAGACTTGTACGTTTAATTATTCAAACACATTGAGGGGGAAGTGGGAGGAAGAGCATAAGACAGGGAGTAAGATGCTGACCCCTCAAATAACAACCTGAAATTCCAATGTGTTACAGAACATGATCATAATAATGAAAGAAAGATTATATGTTCATTAGAAAGTCAAACTAAGGAGTAGTAGATTCCACATTTTTGTTGAAGCTTTACCCCAAGCAATGGCTCATTGTCTAGCCATCCTTTCATGCATTTCCCATCCCTCAGTCACATAAGCATTGTTAACAAAAGATCAACTTTTAAACCACTTTACATCAGTACAACAATACTGATCTACTTCAGATTTTTTTTCTGAGCTTACATTATACAAATACAATTAAATCAAACTATAACATTTATAAAAAGGAGCTTTTTATGCTTGATCATTTAAGTTACAGAACTTTGTCAAACATATTTACCCTCATAGTCTCTCCACGCATTCCAGTATGGACAGTTAATGAGCACTGCCTTGTGGTTCGAATACTTTCCATGACCACACACAAAACTTCCATCCTACTTTTTCTTGATTGATGGACTAGACAATGATCAAAGTTTATTTTTCTAAAATCAAGAGGGAGGCAGGAAGGAAATTCAGACATAATCAGCAGTTTACAAAGCAGCTAAGTAACTTTAAATCAGTAAATTAATCACCATAATGTCTGTTTCAGAGCAGTAAAACAACTGAACCAAGGAGATCTCTGGAAACTTCATATTGGTTTTCAGTGTTTGGGAAGAGAAGAACTAAAAAACTCAAAGAAAGCCAGTATTGTATGAATGCTAGAGAGGAAATCTGGGATACCCTGGAAAATTCAAAACCTGTCCATCTGACTACGGTTTTAGTGCCATTAACATAATTTCTGAAACCTGAAGTTGGGTCATGTCATTCAAGCAGATTTTAAATTTTCAATACTATGGTATAACACAGATAAGAGTTTGGATGGACTCTTCCTTTTTGAATTTGTTTTGTTTTGTTTTTTTCCTGAGACGTGCACTATAATTCAAAGACTTCAGAAAAATTATACAGTCTGTATTATACAGGTCATGTGTTTAATCCCAGTGATCCAACCTGATACCCTTGAAAATATCAGATGGTGACTGCAATTGATTGACTAAAAATAATCAAAAACTTACCACTTCAGACTTTCAACCTAACTGTATGAAATAGAATTATGGAAACAGAAATCAAAACACAGAATACAACCTTGTAGTAAGTTCTTTAAGTAATGTTGGTACTTCAACTTCGTGTTTGGTCACTATGCCAAATGAAGCTTTAAAGGCAACAGAATCTGATCCAGCTACATCAAAACCAACATCATTCATTATCTGATTTCCTCTTCTGCCATTAAGAGAAACATCTGATTTGTCTTCATAGTTGAGCAACTGGTAAGATGAGACACCTGAGTGAAAGAAGATAATCTTTGTGTGATGAAAAAAGTCTGAGCACAGTATTTTCACATAGCAGGAATAAGTGGTACCATTCCTACCATGCTTAATCATTATGATATGGAATTCAGAGCTACATTGGGCACTTGTTTATTGGTGTTACTACTGATGATTGATGGAAAGAGTACTTAGGAGTCCTGAGTTTGATTAGAGCTATTTTCAGATTTCTGGGTTCATCATTATTCTCCTCAAGTACTTCTACCTGTAACTATGATGCTGATATGTATAAACTGCACATGTAGTGTGTTCTGGCTTTAATGACAGAGGCTCTGAAACCCAAAATGACTCAGTGGAGGCCTCACAGAATATTGAAACTAGGAATAAAATGAAAGCCACTGTATAAAAATTATTAGGGAATTCTGAGTTTTGGGTAGATGCCATACAAAGACCCTAATTTTTCTTCATTTTTGCAATACATGAATGAGACATGGGTGTGCCAGTAACATTAATTCTGCCCAGGGACTATCTCAGTTTATTTTGAAGGAAATCAACAGATTAATTCTGACTTGCTTGAAAGTTCGCATTCAATTATTGTACAATCAAAAGCATCTCTACAAAAATGGAAATGTATTTGATACTACAAAAATGTCTTTATAATATCAAATACATTTCCATTACACTAACAAAAAATACTAGAATTCATCGGTTACCAAATTAAAATGAACACAGGAATTAAATTTCCAAATACATCAAAGAATCTGGGGTTTGCTCCTTTTTTTGTTGTTTTTAATCCTTTGACGATATTAAGATAAACTGACATTATGAAGTCACCTACTATGAATCCTGTTTGTTTTTAGTTTTAAATCAGAAAGAAGGTTCATATATTTTTCATAACTCTAAAAGGATTGTAAATGCTTGTCTTTGTCACATAAAAAAGGAAATTCAATTAAAAACTTCTTTGGTTATATTAAAGGACAGTACTTTCTGCGCATGACATTTAACCTTTACAGAAAAGACTAGTAAGGGTTTGTGAGACTTTTTAATGAGATTTTGCAACCTCTTTCTCAGACTTTTTAATGAGATTTTAATTTTTTTTTTTTTTTCATTCAGGACAAGCCAGCTGACTTCTCCTCAATGTAAGACACTGGATTAAAATTCTTCTTATCATGCTTGTGTCCTGAAATCCCCTCCTGTGGGATCAAGTGGTATTTCTGTCTTCCTGTACTCATAGTAGTTTGTCTTGGTAGAGTTTTTAACTGATGCATTTGTTGTGCAATTAATATCATAAATAATTTTGTCAAAATTGACATCTTTTCAAAAGAACACAAAGCAATGAAACTGTTTCAAGAAAACAGAGCATGTAGACACAAATTACTTTACAAAGGAATGTACAGGAACATACAGGCAATGCAGTTGAATTGTGCACCTCATAATTCTCACAGAGTCACCTCAAAATATACATTATTGCATAGAAAAGGCAATTTAAAAATAGTTAAGCTCTTTAAATACACCCCAAAGATTGCAAAGATGGAAAAAGTCTTATGAAAATCCAATTATATAATTCAGATGTAATAGATGTTTTCAAATGCTTCTGCCTGTGCAGAGCTCAGTTCAGCACCAGAGACTGCCAGTATGGAAGAGCTGCAGAACTGAGGCCATTCTTACACACTTAAAAGTGAGTATACAGAGAAAGGGGTACATTTCTAAACAAATTTTTAGGTAGTAATTAATCAACATGCATAAGTACATCTGTCAGGAATTTGTGGTTTGTGAAAAAACAAGGCTTAACTGAATTTGTTTAATACTGGTTCAGAAAATATCAAGGCTTTTTAGTACATATTATTTTTTTTTTTTGCTCTTTTTCCAGGAAGTCCTTTTTTCCCTTTTTTCTTACCATTTTGATTTGTACATTTCTTTTCTTTAATACTTATTACATGCTTAAGCAAAAAAAAAAATAGTTATTATCCATTTATTAAGGAAACACCATAATACCTGCACTGTTTAAACTGTTTACTATGCATTTACTAGAAAACATGCACTTTTCCACTTTGAAGAAAGATAAAAATCTTACCTGCAGAAATTTCCTTCTCTCCTTGAAGAATATCTTTTAATGTGAAAGGTGTTGAAGCAAATTTAGATTTTTTTGAAAGAGAACATTTTCTTTTTTTAATCACAAGGCTCAGAGGTTGGTATCTGTCAGCTTCACTGAGGCTGGGCACTGGAACTAATCTTCCTCCATCACCAACCTGTTTAACAAAGTTTTTAGTTGCAGCAGCAAACATATTATGACATTAGTAATGATAATAATAAAAAGCCCTGTATCAAGTGTAGCTTCCAGACATCGAGCTCATGTTCAGTTCTTTTTATATTGTTCTAGCAAACAAATTAATATGCTTTGAAAAAAAATCTGTCCAACTGCTTTTTTTGAGACTGAGTTATATTTCACTTTTAAAGAATCAACAGCATCTTAGCTACTAAACTTCCATGGTGTACTGCTTGAGACTTCTCTCAGAGACCTTCAGTTAAGGTCTCTAATTCTGCATGATGAATAATGAATTACCAGTGTAAACTGAGAGGGAAATGGTGCCCTGTTCTTGGCAGCTTATTGCCACTCTTTAAAATCAAAATTTACTGTCACAGAAAGGCAAAACTAACGTCCATAACCCCCAGCTTCCCCCTAGGAGTTTTTGATGTGCTGCTGTTTGTTGGGTCCTTGCTGCAGCTGAGTTGTGGTGTTTTAGCAGCACCAGCAGAGCAGCCCAGCCGTGCTCTGGGAGGACACTGGAATTACTCTGATGAGCACTGGCAGGGAGCTCTGTGAGATGGTGTTGCCTTTCACAGCCCTGCACAGCCTGCCTGGGAGAGCTCAGCTGGGGACTGAGCGCTGTGCTGGGCTCCAGTGTGGGATCAGAGCAGGCTGGGGACAGGGGACACCACTGGGCTCTCGTCATTTAACTCCTATGGCTTAGCTGTCTGGGACCGAAGGGCTAGGCTTGAGCTGCATGCATTGAACTCAGACTACTGAAAACCTCATTAAATTGTGAGAATTATGCAAAATGGAAAAATACTGTAGGAAGAAGTGACGGTATTGATAGAGGAATGAGGAACAACTCAAGGATCCAAGATAGAAAGCACCAGTGAAAAAAGACAGATAATTATAAAGAAGACAGACAGTAGAGAGCACTGTGGGGGATCTGTGAGAGGCAGAAGGATCTGACCCACCCTCATGTAAACAATTACTTGATTTTCTAATAAGATTGATGAACACAGAACTGGCTAAACCTTGCTGCACTTCTTCCAGACACTCCCTTTACAGTTACAGTAGGTAAAGCATCAGCCACAGGCTTGTAAAGTTACACTTCAGTAGGAATATTATCCCTGGTTGCCAGGTAACAATTGGTTTGATTGGCTTTTTTTTCTGAAGTAAGGTTTTCATGTGAAAGTATCTTGAGACTTTTTAATACATGAACACTTATTTACTAATTTATCATGTGTCAATACTTCCATAATATTTTTAAAGGTTCAGAGTATCAGGAAGTCTAACAAAATGGCAAAAAGAGGAGGGCATTACTTCAGCTATCTAAGATGAAAGGAAAGGCTGCTGGATCTTTTTGCTAACTCTAGAGGGTGCTGAAAAATCAAGTCAGCTTATATATAGACATTGAATTGAATTGAAAGCATGGGAAAGGCTGCAATTAAAACCCTGTACATATTTACTCAATCAAAACACATTAACAGAATTGAAAAGCTTTCAAAGGGAAGGAAAATCTAAGGGAACTCTAAAATGAAAATTGCCCGTTGATCCTTGGATTAGATTAATCCTGTATATATACGTTTGACAGGATTCTAGTTTTCCTACAAATTATTAAGATCAGCTGGCACTGTTTATTCAACATGCATTTGTATTTTTCTTACTCAGTATGTGGTCATAGATGATACTCAATCTGATCTAGCTCTAATTTTGATAATGAATAGTTTCATTTGATATGTTTACTTGTTATTCCTGTTACTCTAACACCCTATAATCCATCATAAATGCTTCAGCAGATGTTTGTGTTGTCCTTATGCCACAGATCAGAGAGCAGGAGTCCAAGTACAGCAATATTTCCATGTTCTGAAAACATCCACTAATTTTACACATCCCAGTGATGAAACTGAAGGTATTTCCCTGCTCCTCCAGCACCAGACAATTTTGCACTTGGCACACAGGTGTACTTATGAACTTCCAGTGTTTCTGCAGTGCTGGCATGCTCTCATTTTGGGCAGCCAATAAACGAAAAACATCTAATTTCCATGTTCATAAGTTATACCTGAGTCATCACTGGAATTAAACAATCTTTCCCTGTCTTGCGAAGTTGTGCAGATGAAAGTCCTTGCTCACATTTGCTCCCCGGGGAGGATCTGGGCTGAAATGTTCCACTTCCCTCAGCACAGAGCACATAAGGCACTGACAAGGCTCCCCTCTGCACCACGCACAACTTTCACAGACGAGCAAGGGGGCTTTTCCAGCCTCATTATCTTCTCCTGGAGAAGAGAGCTTATTTCCTACACAAGATGAGTTCTGTGTTTTCAGAATCAGTTTTAGCCATGGAGTAGTAACATAGCAAATATAGCTATAAATAGGTGACAATATTTTATGCTTAAATACTGCATTTTTTTTCCTGACATCATAGTGATATGAACATGGAGATTTTTTAAGAGTAAAATCCAGAAGGCAATCCTGCATAATGCTGGAAGAGGCAGAATGTTTTTTGCAGTTAATAGATAATTCCATAATGATTTTTGTTTTAATATTAGATAGTTATCCTACATTATCCCTTGCAAGAATGTCGGTCACCTGTAATTATAGAGCATCTAAAGAGGCATTATTAAGGTGATCTAAGGTGATGCGAACTAGAGATTTGGCCAAGGAACTGAAAATGTGGAATTATTTCAATTATTTCAATCCAGAAATCTTAAACAATCTGTAATCCACTTGAACTGATATGACAGTAATTTATTTCTTGTCACAGTCAACCATATCATAAGATTAGCATGATTAAGCAGTCAGTTGAAGGGAGAAAATAAATCTTAAGAGATAACTGACTGGATAAACTTAGTTGGCGTTTCACTTGATAGGATTAAACTCACAATCTACATCAAATTATGCTGGTAATTTGTTTAATATCTTCTTAGTGTACAAAAAATGCCATCAATTGCCAGATCTCCTGGTAACTGAACAGGATGTATCATGTAATTTCAAGTGCCTTTGAACTGTATTAAGTTTACCTACAGATCTTTGAAAAAGGACAAGTGCAAGAATCTATCATATAAAAAACAGCAAAAGAAAATGCTACTGAAAAAATTCTCACAAAATTCCATAACTTTCCATCACATGGCATGAGCATTTCCCTAGAAAGACGGGATATGTGCAATATAGACACTGTGATAAATCAGGAGGTAACAAAAATAACATTTTATACGACAAAATATGGTCCTTATTACATACACACTTTTTGGTTTTTTCCAACAACCTGAGTGGGTTTAACAGCATTTGACTTCTTTTTTTGATTTTTTTTGAGGTGGCATTCGTCTAGAGATTCTCATGTATGAGCAAACCAGCTGGTTTAATACTGTGACTTACATAACTTCAGAGCTCCTGAAATACACATTCTGGTGATAGTTTCATATGCTCTTCCACAGTCTTACCTTTCAGGTTCCAGACCTTTGTCCACGGACATACACATTGCTTAATCTATGTTTCATGTGTCCACCTCTAGAGTGTATGAAAATCCCAGCTTTTGCTTCTTTGTAATTGCCCCAGTATGAATGGCACGTTTTCAATGGGCAGATGGACGTGTTAGCTGTGAAGCCTTTACTAAAAAAGAAATGCAAAAGTAGCCCTCCAGGGACAGATTTGCCCAGATAGTATGTTTGCATTTACACTTACCACCTGTGAGAAGCAGGCACATTTTCCAGCTCTCAGTCTGGCAGCTGACAGCATCTTTTTCTCGCTAAGAAGATATTAAACAAATTAGCAGCATAATATGGTGTAAATTTTGGGTTCGATCTTTCCAATACCAGCTCAGTTTATCCAGTCAGTTAACACTTAAGATTTCTTTTCTCCCTTCAAATTCCAGCTTTCATTTGTTACATAATTACTGCATACAGCAAAGCTACTTTCATCATGTAACATTATTAGCTTGCGAAGACAAATCTGGAAAAAAACAAGCCAGTGTGACCTAAAGTAGGTTTAACATTTCCTTTTCTTTAAAGGATGATGCCCAAATGGATAAATCTTTTTATCCAGCATATGTCAGTGGGTGTGCCTGTGTGAGAGGACAGCTTTGTGGGCTTGCCCATCCAAGTGTATGAGGATGTAGAACTGAAGATGCCACGATATCTGAAGAGAAGTTACAAAGCAAAGGATTTGTCTATGTTATAACTCACATTGTCCATGCTAAGCTGTCTGATGGGTGCTGGTACAGTTATATCTATATAAAACTTCCTTCAGTCATGGACATCTTGTTCCTTGCTGCTTCCCTTTAGGTTTTAAATTGAGCAGCAGGACTGCTTTTATTTTTGGCGTTGACATCAGATGTTCTGTGACACTGGGCAATCAACTTCTGTTTATGAAACTTACCGTGTGTGGCCGTGCTAATGTATCACTTCTCAGGGAAGGATACTGCAAGAGCTGATTATTACTATTACAAAGTACTCCCATATCTTTGGATACAGAATATTTATAAACAGACAAAATTAAATCAGTGTTTGCAGGGCATGCAAGAATTCAGCATCCTCTTTCATAATCACCCCTATGTTTATTCAGCCTGTTCCTTTCCATGCTACAAGAATATGTCTTCATCTGGTTTCCTAATTAATTCTTTTCACACATGTGGGCATAATGTAATAGACTTGAGTACTTTCCAGATACTAAACATTTTAACAGGCAGGTGACATAAAAAAATCTTGTCACCAACCATGAAAAGCAGCCTGATACTCTTGCTGACACTAGGTCAGCTGATCAGCATTTAAGTGAAGTCTAGTTGAAGTGGAACTGAAGAATGGACGTGCTGTTGTGCTATATCTCTTGAATTTCTTTGACTGCTAAATGTAATGCAAGGCCCTTAGAAATAATCTACTTAAAGAGGGACTTAAAAGACAATTAACATCTTAAATTTTATCAGTTGAAAGAAATAACCCAACATCCTTACCAGAACTTGTAGTCCACCTGCAGTCCAACAAGTAACCTTTTGAGAATGTTTAATTATAATTTTTTACTCCACTGACTTGTCAAAAAACCCCTCAAGAAGCCTAGGATGGTTGTGAAATTTGAGC